TCTTGTAAATACCTGAAAGTATCAAATGCTGCTGGCACAATGGATCATCACTTGTTAGACTGACTGACTGACTGAGTTTTACGCCGCTTTTAGCAAAATTCCAGCAACATCATGGCGGGGAACACCAGAAATGGGCTTCACACATTGTACCCATGTAGGGATTCGAACCCGGGTCTTCGGCGTGACGAGCCAACACTTTAACCACTAGGCTACCCTACCGCCCCTCACTTGTTAGAAAAAAAAAAGTTATTGAAGAATACTTACCTCGGAGTGTGTTTGTTAAGGTTAAGGTGATGTAATATATTTGTCGAATAACATTTTATATATATTCCACTTTCTGAAAAGCATTTTTATGCCATAATTGTGTCAATGACACCAAATACGTCTGATCATGATATGATGGGTTTTAAAAAACTATCCACCTTTAGCTACATGCCATACATCAAACCAATCAGGAATGTCCACACTAGTTTGGTTTCAATAAGTTATTTGGCTTACAAATTTTATGTGTAACTGGGAATAGTAAGAAGAATTGGCTGATACACATTATGAAATAGAAATGTTTCACTGTATTTGATATATTTAACACCAACATGTCTTGGAAGAAAAGTTGTATCAATTTTATATAGGCTTATGTATACAAGATTGCTGTTGTTTGAATCTCATGGGACCAAATTTCCTTCTCGAGTCATCCTGTGTATTTATGAGACGAATTCGTGTAACCGGTATTCAAATGATGACAACTATAACAGGGAATGGTCGGGCCCGACAGGTACTTCGAGTTATGCATAATATTCGAGACACCGGCATTCGACTCATCGGGATTTGACTATGTATGTGTTTAAGTATTACAGCTAAGTATTGAAGTTTTAGCAATATTCCAGCAAGATCACGGCGGGGGACACCAGAATGATGCATTAGAAGTATACAATTATTCATAGTATGTTTTGACAAACAGCAATTAGCATGATATGTTATGACAAACAGCAGACTAACATTAACAACCGCATGTAATTGATTAACACGTGATACATAATGGGAAGACGGAATTTGGGGACTAAGGGCAATAAACAGTACTGTGATATAGTAAAGATACATTGTCATGTTAACCTCGGTGCCAATTATATCAGCTTACAATAATTAGCTTTGGGGGAAATAGTACGTGAAACGAGCGACGCACTATGCATCTCTACAAATTATTTACAATTACAAGCAAACGAATTTTCGTTACTGGCTGACAAAAATTTGTATACACAAAATTTGCATTCTGTTATAAAAAAAATGCATTCAAACCATCTAAAAGCAGACTAAAACATACTCGGTACTTTTGTCGTAATACTTATGTGGAAGTGCTCTCACAATTTAACATCCCAATACAAATCATTGTATTGTCATCAAGGAACCTACAACAGAGGAGTACGCGCCTGCTCTCAGCATTCTTCACTATACGTTAATGTCCCGTACAGAACACCATAGTAACGCGCTATGGTTTATTGGCTTTGCAAAGTATAAGCTTCACAAGTGACAAGTCTCTTGTTCTGATAAGTCGTGTTGTGACAATGGCGAAGTTATTCCTGCTCGTGGCGTTGATTGTGCTTTCGATATTTGCAATTACAGAGGCACAATTCCTTTTTAGTGAGTATTTGTATATCAGCATTAATGATTAATCATAATAAACCATAGAATAGTAAAATATTACGAATATGTAACGCCGTATAATTAGAATAATTCGTTTCACAGGTTTCGTGAACTTCATAAGTATATGGACATTTTAACAGTTGTTTTATAATATTGCCATAGGTTGCCCTGCCAACTGCCGAGACACCACCTGCTCCTCCGTGGGCTGTACCTCGTGCGACACCGGCTACTGCCTATACTACGACATAAGCAGCAAGTGAGATGAGACAGATGATTGTTGATGCATGGATATCTAATATTACCAAAAAGGGGCAACATGGCCAGATTTTCGAAACAATTTCAACCCTGTCGTAGTATATTTTCGAATTATCTTTGCCTAAGATGTCGTATGATTGCCGCAAATCTAAGATCTCTCCACGTCCGTCATAGGTGAATCATATCTTCATCCAAGATGAAAGCCTTTTTCGAAATATATAGACTAACTATTCTGCTTTACGTATGACATGTTATGTTGTTAAAATCCCAAAACCCCAAAACGTACTGGAATCAGTACTTTACTGAGAAGTTGTAATCGCAAGTATTCCATATGCTGCATTTGACCACTTTCTAAATGGCAATGTGGAACTATTCATATGCAGTGTCCTATCTACGATGCTACCTGTTTAAATTCACTGCACTCTGATCTACGTAATTCGGTTTGTGCGACAGATTTGGCATATGCGTCAATCAGTGCCCGAGTGGAATGCACTGTACTGTCTTCATGTGTTCTCGTAAGTAATGTATGTCTCTTTGTGCTTCGTTTGTACATGGTGAAATGGGTAGAGGAGGAGGGTTGGGTTGCGAAAGTGAAGGGGGCGAGGAGTGTACAGGATGAGTGAATTATTAGATTTAGGAGCATATAATATACTCCATATTTATGCAAGGCGGTTGACATTGTTTTCTTGTCCAATACTATCTCGAACATAAAGGCTAATTGGCACAACCACAACACAAAAAAGCCAATGTAGGAAAAGAGCTATTTACTATACTGAACATCCTAAAAATATTTGGAGATTTCTTCCAAATCTATGAACCGAAATTAAATACACCGGGTTGTTGATATGAGTTACGTGGCTGAATGCGTGTTCTCGTAGGCTGAGTGTGAATATATCTTTGCTCCAATCGAATCGATTATTTATAGCTTGTCCTTAAATAGCGGAAATATTGTGAAATAAAGCAGCATCCGCCAATTCCCATGACGCTGTAAGACTGAATGTCACCACCTTTTCTTTGTAGAAGATCGAAACTAACAACAGTGTGCCGGAAGTGTGGAAAGACAAAGGAAAAACGGAACAGTTTACGATTGTAAATCTATGACTGCGATTTGATATGTGTAATCAATCGATGAATATATTCTTGCAATAGGAACTCTTCGTTTTGACATAAATTTCAGCGGCAGATATATAAGTTAGGATTTGTTACTATTGATTATGGAGATATCCAGATGATTCCTATTCACCTACCGGCTATGGTAAAGAAACAGAACTTGGGAGGTGAAGAGACTACCAGACTATCGTGTCCACCTCCAAGCTTGTATAGCGCTAATCCACTGAGACACCATGACTCATGGATGCCTGCGCTGTGTTTATGGACTTCCGAAGCCGACGGGAGGTGGCCGAGGCTGTTCAACATACCAATAAATCCATTTTAAATTCTCCCACGGACACTTAACACCTCCATATGACGGACTTGCAACAGACGTTTTTGATGAATATTCCATTTATCAATCAACAATAACAGTAACATTGCGAAACACACGTATGTGTAATGTGAACACAAGACGTCTGACAGCCCAAGCACATCGACAAATAAGTCAGATTCTTTACGATGAATTACGGGATTCTTGATGCTCTCTGGACGTTCATTACATTTCCCCGAAGCAACGGATCTGAACGATTTATCACAAATATTTTAACCTAGAACATCAGATGCTGGCGATCTATAGCCCGTGTTTTATATTGTATTGTCTTCTTTAATTACACTGTTTTAGTTTTACATGCTAGTTTTATGTTCATATCTGTGATACTCTAGTGTTTTTACTGTCCATCGTCGACAGGTTAAACTCTTCACAAAGTTATCATGTTTGTATTGTATAAATTGTTTTCGTCACGATATGGCTGAAATATTGCCGATGTGACGTTAAATATTAACTCACTCACTCACTCACTTGAACCCAGAACTTTGCAGTTGCTTGGAAACAGATCTGAGACAACGGCCCAGTTGATGGCACCCCAGCTCACACGTGTCATCACTGGTACACTGGTAGAACAAACCCCAGTTTTGTGCTCAATGTGTGCTAGTGTTAAAAGATTACCACTATGGGAATCTTAAGGTCTTTCGTCAGCGTTCAAATTTTGTTGACTTGGTAATCATATATGTAACCTCAGTTTGAATAAGTAGGCGCCTGGGGTGATCGTAGCGCTAAGGTGATCGTAACTCCGATACTTTATGCCTGGTTCACATTTGCGCCCTGCAATGGGTCTTTGGCACCCGCAAACTGCCCGTAGCACCATTTCCGTGCGGTCGCCGTGCGGCGGCAGGCGTGGCCGTACGATTATCGCACGATTCTGCGGGCGCCATAGCCTCTACGACTTTGCTAAACAGCAAAGTTTGACAAATTAAAAAACAAACAAACGGTAAGCCCGTAGCCCGTAGGTGACATCGCGCGGTGATCGTACGGTAAACGCACGATTGTTTAGTTCCAAACATTCGTACGGCGATCGTAGAATCGTGGGATATTCGCACGGCTACCGCGCGATCACCATGCGGCCTCTTTACGGTGCCCGTGAAATCACATGGACATTCTGCAGTCATCCTTCGGCAGCCGCATGATGTCCGTGCGGCAGCCTTGCGATGGACCAATCATTTTTACCATGGGTATATACATTAGCAATCCCTACCAGTTCTTTATACAGTATTTCCTTTGTCTTAGTTAATGAGAGAGGTCCAAGACAACAAGATGTACATGGTAAACCGATCTCCGCTCAGCCTCCACACGGGCTCTGTAGGTTATACTACACTAAATGAGAATCGCTTGCTCACTGAGCGAGACGCGTATTTAAACAAATGAAGAGATAGAGACATGTGACAGCTGTGATTGGATGAAATAGTGTAAGATGTTTATGTTTTTTAAAAGCATATCCAACCAGCAATTAAAACTGACCATAATTTTAAGCATTCAGTGCTGTCATTTTCATCACCATGACTTATGCTTATTGTGTGTACAGATATTTTCCAGTAGGTGACATTTGGTGCGGAACTGGGGTTGATGTGTTCCGCTTCCTGTCCCCGCAAAACGAGCCGGACAAATTGGCCTGATATTGTGTTTTTATTGTAGTTTAAAGGCCAGAGTGTACCCATGTGTACATAGAATGGCTGTTGATAGCTTGTCTATTTTTAAAAAAATTATAAGGTTACTATAGAAGTCTATAGGAAAACATTTGATGGTGTGTAACCTGTACGATGTCCGTGCAGTAGCTGCGGAGACCGCACGATCTCCGTACCCTCTCCTTACGATTTCTGTTCAGCCCCAATGTAGTACCTGTCCCCAACGAAATCGCACGATGCCCGTAGACAATGTGAACACAAACGTCGTACCCGCGGTCACCCACGATGCCTTAACTGTCGTACGGAAAACCGTAGACTACGGACCCCTGATGTTTGTGATGTGTGGTGTCAGCAAGCAGCTACAGTACAAGTAATCCGAGAGGGTGCCAGCCGAGGAGTCAGAAGATTGCCAATTTGGACTATAGTCTGAAAATAGGACAGCCACTGAACAGTCTTTTAAAAAACACACAAATAAGATACATGTTTGGTATGAGTGAGTGAGTATGGTTTTACGCCGCTTTTATCAATATACCAGCAATATCACGGCGGGGGACACCAGAAATGGGCTTCACACACAGAACCTATGAGCGTGGCGAGCCAACTTTTTAACCAGTGAGCCACCCCACCGCCCCTTGTTTGGTATGAGAAATCGTAACCTCGACTTCTTGAGAGATTAAATACAGTTAATTTCAGTTTGGTTTAAACTTGCTACTAATGTACATCAAAATAAAATGCCAGTTATAATTCACAATGTTTTATCACAAATGCTAGAAAATAATATGTATGCTTCACCGTGGCTTGCTAATATTAAACGTATTTATTTATTTATTTATTAAATACGGTATATTTGTTTTTCTTGTGTATTGAGAGTCCCGGGAACGCTCAATTCAGTGTTCACTGTAGCCTGACCGTTCCCGCGAAAGCGACACCTAAATTGAGGAGGTTTGGTTCTTTACTGGTTAGAACGGCCACATGGATTCCCCACATGGGTGCAATGTGTGAAATACATTTCCTCTCTCCCCTGTCGTGATGTTGCTGGAATATTGCTAAAGGTGGCGTCGTGCCATACTACCATACTCACTCACCCACTCACGTATAGAATTGATAGGTTGGTTTTATAGTTTTAGGGCGACGTGGGCCAATAAGAGGCCTATTTGCGCCCAACACATTACTTGATTTAATAAACAATCATAGGTAATTTCATCGCCAAAAGGAATCGTTTAGTTAAGATAAAAGAAACGACAACACTATATATATATATTAATATTAATTTGGGTAGATGTATACGTATGTCGAATAACCTCTGCTTTGTGTTACGGATTAAAAACCTTAAGTAATCAGTTCCATTTCTGAAACATGAAATACTCATTCATTAAAAAAGCAGTAGGTTCAGATGACAGAGTGTTAAAATGATTTAAAACCACAGAACTAAATCTGTCTACGCCATTCGAGAGCCTGTCTAGATTACATCATATTTTCCAGATGACGAGACAAAATCTCAAACTGCCCGTTGCACAGACCCATACATGATATTGGGGCCCAAAACTGTTTCTAATGAAAATACATCATCAAACTCAAGTACAGCACCTCTGAGATTATGTCTTATCTTGTTATGCCCAGGGCATGTAATTAGATAGTGTTCGTTGTGTTCAGGCGTCTCCAAATTGCAATGGCCACATTTAGAAGAGACCGTCTTATCTATAATACTCCTGTAAGCATTTAGTCCACAGTGTCCAAGTCTGAGACGTGAAAGAATAACCTCATCACGCCTTTTACGACGACGAATTTTATGACCAGATTTTAGTGATGGTCTAAGTTTGTACATATGTCGGCAGGTAGTACCAGTATCCCACAACTGTTGCCAACTCCTTGTAACAGATTTCGATAAAACCTTTTTAAAAATCTTTAGGGATTGGTTGAAATATAAATAAATCAGCTTCAGGAAACTGTAACCCGGATTTGGGCAAATTATCTGCAATCTCATTCCCATGTTTGCCAACATGTGCTGGGACCCACGCAATGTCGCATGCAATGTAAATATAGAATTGATAACCTGGATGTGAAGTAGTCTCCCTTGATTTGTTTGTTTAATATGAAACCTCTGCACAGTGCTCGCCTTCACTAACAGCTCCCCGTTCTAGTGGGCACCTCTGTGAGAAGCTCCACTGTGTCGTGTTGAATACATGGCTTCCTTCCAATCATTGCTTGGCAGAATACTTTCTGGAACTCCTACTATGCCAATATCGGATTCGAAACCTCCCCGCCCCCTCCGTCTTGTCTTCCGTCCATCTCCTTGCAGGCCTGTTACATACAAAATAGCTCTCCGAAAACATTAGGGTTTCCTCCTGTTTCAGTCACATCGATGCCTGGATTCAAGTCGGACCTCGCGTCCTGTGATACTTGCTGGACATTCGCGAATGCAGTGACTTGTTAACGAGAGCGTATAATCTTGTTTGAAAGTTTTTGCTCCAATCTAGTTTCACCATTGTGTCTTACATTTGACTCACTGTCTCCCCTCATTTGCTTATAGGCTTTATCCCTATCCTTGGTTTTCATAGCATATACAATAACATGTGGAGTTTTCGTACTTGTGTAAAACGTAGGTTGTGCTTGACTTATGCTCATGTGTATATTGCAGTGAAAATGAAGGTATGGTTTGACGTAGTTGACTAACTTAATACATGTAGCGATGAAGGGGACTCAGTACACAACACACTTGTAGAGATGGCTCATTTTTATTGGTTGGTAGGCAGATGATTTGTACATTGTCACACAACAGTTTGGTGAAAGCAAAGGTAATATATTATGCGTAGTGTCACAACTCATTAATTGTTTAAAAGTCACCACAAAGTAAAATGTTTACATTAAAACCCTTTACCATAACTAATTCAATCCTTGGGTATAGGCCATGCTGACCACATATACAATCAAGATTTTTGTTCGTAATAATCTTACCAAAGGTCAGAACCAAGAAATAGTCAATGCGGACATGGAATACGATAACACGCGTTTCTAGCTGTGGTGTCTCATCCACAGGTGTGTGAGAAACAAAACAACAACATCCTCAGCCACGACACCAATATCAAATAGCAAACATAATCACAACCCAAGCATGAAAGTTACTTCAACCACAATATTTGTACAACACGTATTTCACCACTTTTAATATTGAAATAATAACACCCATTGAAAGTCTTCACCATTTACGAAATATTTTTGGTGACATTTGTTTTTATAATTACAGTCAAACCTAAAACAGTTCACAGAAAGTTATTTCACCCACTTATTTAATAAAAAACGGTCACCGATTTTAATATTGAAATAATAACACCCATTGAAAGCCTTCACCATTTATTAAATGTTTTTTTGTGACATTTGTTTTCATAATTACAGTGAAACCTGAAACAGCTCACAGAAACTATGTGGCAGTACTGCTTGGACATGTAGCACCATGTGACAGTACATTCAGTGAATAGGTGTTACGTAGTTACCATTTACCTAACAACCTGAACCCAAAACTGCATTGAAAGAGTGCCAACGAAAACAAAACATGTATAAATTCTATTAATGGTTACTGAACAGAAAAATAGTATTTCCTGTATGAGCTATACGAAGGAAACTGAATGTAACTAGCAGCACAGTTGCAGCAAGAAGTCCATTAAGTTGTGGTGTTCCTGAAGTGGTTACTGTCAGGCTCAAGCAAATTGTGAGCCAATGAAAGCTTGCTACATTACACTGTAACATAAACAAAGATTTTTTTTCTGAAACATACATATTCTTACGCAAACATAAAAGACGGACAAATCGATGTGTTTGTGGTTATCTCTGCAATATTCCACCTATATGGTTGCGGGCCAGACAATCCAGTGATCAACATATGCACAGCGACTCACTCAACGCAACTTTCTGGTGGTGAAGGTTGGAAACGCTCCATAAGTCTACAGAACGTTTGGCTCAAAAGCGGACCGATGAAGTGCAATCTAACTCGAAAACTAATAAACATAACATACGCAATGAAACGCTGATCATAATCAAAACATCATATCCACTCTGTGAGGTTTTTGAAAAAAATTTGTAGTAAAAATAATAAAGTTGTTTAACAAACTATCATAAAAATATTGACTCAGTTCACTGTTTGTTACGAGGGAGGAGTGCAGAGAAAGGGACAGCCAGGTGTTCGAGAAGCACGTTCACAGACAAAGTTATTTATTCATTAACCTGTGCTGTGCCTTCTCCATCCGTTCTCGAACACCCGGCTGTCCCTTTCTCTGCATTCCTCCCTCGTAACAAATAGTGAACTGTGTTAATATTTTAATGATCGATTGTCAAACAACTTTTTTATTTTTTAGGACAAAAATTCTGCAAAAAACCTCACAGAGTGGGTATGATGTTTTGATTATGATCAGTGTTTCATTGAGTATTTTATGTTTATTAGTTTTCGAGCTAGATTGCAATTCATCGGTCCGCTTTTGAGCCAAGTAAACTATAGTAAGTTCACTCTGAACAAAATCTGGACTAACAGTACATCAGTAATTGTTTGATCGGCATACTAGAAGTTGGTGACTCAAAAATGAAACATACTTAACTTTATGGATGACAACTTCTTATTTATTGCACAGCGCGACGTTTCCATGTAGATTCTTACATCTATCAAGCTAAAGCTGAATACAACCAGATGCTGTTTGTCAAAACATACTATATATACCTCTCATCAACGAGAACACATGTCCGTGCCTCTTGCAATCCTGGAATCCAGGAAAAGACGGGCAAAGAGAAATACACTGAGCGGTGAAACAAATGTACCCTAAAATCCCCGTTTCAAAGATTAATCATAAATTTAATCCATTAACATAAACAATTGTGTAACATCGTCCTTGTACACCCCTTTCCACATTGACAAACGTAAGTAAAAACTAAACCTAACTAAATATGGTGACCATCGATGCAGTTAGTTTTGGCAAAATCAAATTTTAAAGGAATTCGGCTCAAAAGCTCGATCATGTCGAGCAAAAGGGAATGATCTTTCAAGGAGGATTCCAAAAGGCATCTTGTCTCTCGGCCACACTTGTTAGGTGTAAACATTTAAATTTCGCACTTACACGAATTTTGTCAATGTGATGTTTTTAGTGTCCACAAT